AAAAAATTAGTATATAAGAAATTTTTTATCCCAACTTAAATAAAATATCCTTATAAGTAATTTGGAATGTGATTTCAAATAGAGCTTCAAGAGATTCCCTCTTATCGATGGAACGAAGTAATATGACGTAATTCTTCCATATAAAATGATATCGTTGAACTTGAATTGTTCTAAGGACGTCTCTTTATTTAATTTATATTTTTTCCCCCATGACCAAGTGACCAACAACACACAAAAGAAGGAGCAATACGTCCACAGAAAAAAGTAATTCCATTCAAATTTATTCATTTTCTTGTGTTCTTAAATCATTTTTTAATCCTTTCATATTTAATAGTTTTCTAAAAGGCATTAATTAAACTTTTTTAAAAACAATAGACACCAATGTAGATTTTTAAATTTTATTTGTATTATCATTTTTTTCCTTTACACGGGCATCCTTTTATTAGAAACAATTTTGTTCGAAATACTATTGGGCATTAAATGTGAATATTTCAAACATTGTTCCCTACGTTGTGATAGAGTAACTCTTTTCACCGATTCAATTCTTCGGTTCCATAAAAACAATTCAGAAAATAAGAATTGGATTTTGGAGAAGAAACTAATTTTTCAATAAAGAACTAAAATTTTAATCAGCTAGAAAAAAAAATATTGCCACTGCTAACTCTAGGAGAAAGACGCATGTGCACGACAAGAAAAAGTCATTTTCATTCAAATTTACACGATTAACTATAAAAATTTGTAAATATTTTCGGGTAGTCGCTCAGATTTATTAACTTCATACATAATGATAGCGAACAACAAAAACATGGATTCAAAAGAGTTCTTTTTTTTGTGTGTCAGATTGAACAAATATTAATCTTTTATTATATAGGTTCTTGTGTATTATATATAAACTCTCATAAACAAGGTTCGTATGACTGTGAAATAATGCTACAGCTCATTGTAATTTTAATATTCAATATTAAAATTGATATATTATTACATCCAAAACAATCATTACCGTATAGTTTCTAATCCAAACGGGCACTCTATCACAAATTCACAATGTTATGCCTCATAATAATAATAATAATAATAATAATAATAATAATAATAATAATAATAATAATAGGCTCTCTATTTATTTAATTATTATTTATTTTAAATAATTTCCATGATGATGCAGAGAAATTGCATAACAATTATAAAATTTAAGATTTCTCTCTCGACATGAAAATCACATTTTACGTACAGTTGTGAATAATATATATATATATATATATGTTGACACGTTAAATATATAAATATATATAGCGTTGTCTATATTTTGTCATCAAAAAAATTTATGTTTGTTTATTTTGTTTCGTTCCTTCCCGCAACAATAACAGCATATAATTGTTTTCTCCACGAAAAAATGACATATTATTATTAAATGAAAATAAGCAAAACCTAAACATTAGCCACAACTAAAACGCTAAACAATTAATTATTTTTTTTGAGCAAAGCTAAACAATTAATTATAAAAGTCAAAAACAGGATATCTTTGTTTTGTTTTTTTAAGTATTATAATTTTTTTGTTTGTTTATTCCCATGCAAATAGGCACCAACTAAGGTTAATAAAAAATACATTTTTTTTTTGTTGGTGAGGTTATTACAAATCCTCAAAATCTTTGGTGGAGAGAAAAGAAATTTAAAATTTGTCTATACTCTTTCATATGCACTTGCAAATAATAAGGAAGAGCTACTCTCACAAAAAAAAAAAGGAAAAAAAAAAAAAAACAGATTAGGACGGTCCTCATGATAAGGCAATTACACGTGTTTGGATGTAGTGTGTCATCAAGATATAATATATATATATATATATATATTGATGTTGGACAAATAATGCGTCAAGTTTGATTTTAATTAGGTCTTTCATTTTCAATTACAATAATGAAAAACGTATTATGGGTTCGTGCATTAATTGTTCAATTTAAAATGAATTAATATATGTGTGTGTATGCTATTAGTCTGTTGGCAAAAAAGAAATGCTATTAGTTTGATCATGTCCTACTACTCCTTCGGTCCTAAATATAATATGCCCTTTGTAATATAATTTACACTATAAAAAGAGTCTTATATTTAGGATCGGAAAAGTAATAGTTATCCAATAAACTTCCTATATAATATTGTCAGGTCATGTAGTGCAAATAACGTTAAGTATCTCTTTAAGACTTTCCTAAACATGAAGTTGTGAGTTAATATCAAAAGAAAAACTTCCGGTTTATTATTATTATTATTATTATTATTATTATTATTATTTAATTTTATCATTCTTTCATAATTTATACAATGATCATATTACCCATGTGACAGATAAAAAAAAAACTTTAAATTTTATTAATTCTCATTATAAATTCAACTTTCTAATTCTATTTATTCTTATGTATTAATATAACAATAAATAAAGGATAAAATTGTATATTTATGTGAAAAATTTCTATTTTTATGCTATAAATAGAATAAAAATTTATTTTTGCTTCTGTCCTGTAAATATAGGACTAAAAGAGTATTTGCCAAGGGTTCAAATTTGCGACCTCATTATTTTTTCCATTATTAATAATGCGAGAGTCAAAACTGAACTTCAATTATTATTGCTCATAATAAATTCACGCCACTAAGGCTTTTTTTAAAAAAAATATTTGCTATAAGTGAACGGAAGTTATACAGATCAATCATGGATATGTGGGATTTACGTATAATATCAACGATAAGTTGGCTTAATTAATTGATTTTAATATAGAATTAAAAAAATGCTAAATCATATTATCCAAAAGTCAAAAATCGTGTAATTTAATTTTTATTAGTATATACGCTATTATTAGTTATTCAAGGATCAACATCCTATCTTTTATTATTATTATTTCTCATTATTAATAGGATAGTCAAAGCTGGGCTCCAATTATTAGTCATAATAAATTCATGTCATTTAGATTTTATTTATATTTGCCGCAAGTCAACGGAAGTTATCCATATCAATATTGGATATGCCAATGTCATGTGCGATTTATATACAATATCAAATAAAAGTTGGTTTAGTTAATGATTTCAATATATAAAATGTAAGACACCATCGTGTAATTTAGTTTTTATTAATATAGCGGATAACTCTCTTTAAAATGTCTTTTTAATTTTATATAAGTACATACTTTCTATATAAATACATAACTCTCTTAAAAATAATTTATAAACGACGTGAATTAAAATTTTCAAATATTGGAGCAGTAAATTAGAATGCAGCAAAGTACAAACCCACCCTTAAAATTGTTGGTAGAAATGGAGAAAAAGAAAGGAGAGAAGTTCTAAGTAAAAAATTTAATTACTAGTCATGGGTCTCATCCCTTAAAAAAAAATAGCATAGATTGAGAAGTGAAAGAGGGACGCATCAATGATAATTTCGTGCTTAAAATTTTATGTTATTTTACTAAAAGTTAAAAAAAAAAACTCTTGGCATCTAAGGACTTGTTTGATTTCTTATTTTAAAAATAATTTTTAATTAGAAAAAAAAACTCATTTGATAATTTATTTTTAATTAGTTGCCTTACAAAAATAATATGGTTTTAAAAACTTAAAAGCCAAAACAATTTTTAAATATTTTCTTATTTTGTATTTTGTATTTTTTAAGAAAATTGGATAAATATTTTTATCTTCTCACCCACTGCTCGTCACCTATTTGCAATATGTCATTTTTTTAATTTTTTTTTGAAATATGATTTTTTCCAAATATTTATCTAAATATATACTTTTTATTTTTTATTATCAAAACTTATTTTAAAAAAGATAGAAAAAATTGCAATAAGGTTCTAAGAGAATTAAATATAAAAAGATCTCTTAAAATCATCAAATTAATATGAAGTTTCAAGGAATCTCATTGTAATAAATTGAATTTGTTTAATGACCAAATTTTTTATCTTTTTTTTTTAATAAAAAATATACATTAACAACTGAAAGTGTAATCGTTAACAACTTATAGTGTAACGATTAATAATTAATGCGATAGATATTGACAACTCATGATTTCAATGGACTTTTTTGTATATAATTCTCTTAAGAGGGATAATTTCTCATTTAATTATTATTATAAAGTTTTGAGAACAAGAAAATAAAAAAAAAACAGAAATAAACGAACACTCAACTCTCCCCCACCGTCCCACGTACTACACCCACATCTAAGGAAGAGCCCCCGAAAACGAAAAAAAGGAAAGAAAGAAAGCGACCTCGTGACAAGGCAAACACGTTATTCCTGTCTCATATGATAAATTATAAATGAAAAAACCACAACTTCTTCATATAATTAGAGGCAGATGGAGTAATTCCTATAAATTTAAAAAGCATATACACTCTCCAATCTCTATATCCCTTCATCATTCAAAATTGATAAAAAAATGTATTTTTGAAATAAAATACTATCTCTAATTTTAATTATAAGATTTTTTTTAAACCACAAACGAAGTCATATGTTTAGGATAGAAGATAATAATTGATTATTTATAATCACTTATGGGCACGTTTGTAATAACTTATAAATAATTTTTTAATAATGATTTACGGAATAAAAAGTAGATATATGAGAGGAGTTTTATCTCAATTTATATAAAACATGCTTATAAGTGATTTTAATCATGTAAACAGGGCGTATATCTTCAAACGCAAGCAGCTTATCACATGAAATATATATATATATATATATATATATTTATAGCATATCCTATTTTTGCGCGGCGTTATGCTTATCACGAAAATTCAAAACTACGAATGGATTTGGATCATTTCTCAACAGTTCGAGATTTGATGAACTTGGACGGACTTACGGTTCCATTCGTATTCGTAGTTTTATCAAATACCTCTCCGTACCCTTTTCTTAATTTTTTACTTTAGTTTAATAATCAGTCAATCACCAAGGCCAACAAACTATATAAGCTTTGGTACGATTACGATTACAGTATAATAATTTAAACTTCTGTTTCCGTTACATGTTATACTACATTACTGTTCATGTCGCTGTTTCATTAATCACGAATTGATTTTTCTTCGCTATATATGATCCTACTTGGTCCTGCAGTTGATAGATGAATCGCCGATTGTTGATTTTGCGTCACTGACTCTGTGAGTGTTTAACTTTGGATGAATCGTTGATGCATGAATGCTTTGTGTTATTTGATATATTGTCGGTTGGATCTAAACTGGTTTTACTCTCAACTGTTTAGGATTACTTTAGGGAATGGTTATTGGGAGTCGATGAGGATGGATGGGACTAACAGTGCTGGGAATTCATACCTGTATTTTGCTGAAATATCCTCCTCCAGGTTCATAATTCACAGGTAAGGATAAGCTGTTAAGAATTTGCTGACAGAATGGCTGAAAAATAATGGCACATGGAAAATGTCACAATAATCAATCATTTCCGCATCACTTTGAAAGAGACTAAATGAAGTTATTTAAATCTCTTTTCGTGTGAACTTGAATTACCAGGATAATCCAAAGTTAAATTATTCCTTTTACTTTTGGTTGCCCCTCTTATTTTTTTGTCTTGTTCGTTGTCTTGCCACTTTTCTCTGCACCAACTACAATCACCCAATGGCCAAAAGAAAGAAACTACCAATTTGGAAGCAGACAAATCTACCTCATTGGGAATAATACTCTCCTTGGTCTGTGAATCTTTAGATTTTCACTTTCTTCTCCTGCCTCATCTCTCTTTCTCGTCAGTTTAAGTCTTAATGTATGATCAGCCTGGTTTTTCACTTTGCAATACGCAAGCTATTAAAAGATTGATTTGCCTATTCAAACGAACGTCATTTTGTTCCAATTATTGATAAGTAGAGTGACAATGATGATTTATTTTATGATATTAACACCTGCATGTCAAACCACGTATGGACTGAATAAATCCATTACATCCCATCCCCGCCTCTATATAATGAATTGATGAGCAAGGACTTTTTGCAGGATATAGGGCGAACTAGTTGGTTACTCTACTGTTCATCATCTGGTAATTTAAATGTGCCTTTTGATTCATTTATTTCACTGTATTCTTGTCCAATTGAGATCGAGGTCCTTATATGATTCCTTTATGAAAGTAAGCTAAACTTGTCGCGACAAAACATGACTCTAAAGCTTTTATAGCAGGTCACTGGGTATCAGAGATTTCCACTAACGGCCAGCTACTTGTCATAATCGTGATTTGCAGGTTATTGCTAGTCTTTGGCAATAATGAGTCACCGTCAGCGATGAGGTGATAGAAAGGGTTACAGAGGAAATCAGAAGTGGGCATTCCTCTCGTCGACATGACAGGGCTTTGCCACATATCCACAAGGTGGGTACTCCTCCTAAGCAAAATGTTCTCAAAGAGATCAAAGAAACTGCAATGGAAACTTTCTTCGCAGACAAGCCCTTAAGCCACTTTAAGGGCCAACCTGCATCGAGAAAGTTGGTTCTTGGCCTGCAAGCAGTTTTCCCCATCCTTCAATGGGGAAGAGGTTACGATCTTGGTAAATTTAAAGGGGATCTCGTTGCTGGACTTACCATTGCAAGTCTCTGTATTCCTCAGGTAAGTGGCGCTCTTTTAGGATATTATTAATACCGGGTATGCATGCTTTTTTCTTTTGGATCATGACTCACTAATAATGCAATACAGGATATTGCATATGCAAAGCTTGCAAATTTGAAACCACAGTATGGACTCTGTAAGTATCTTGATTTTCTTAGTAACAATTGAGTTCATCAGGTAGACATCTAAGCTTCGTGGCTTTATGTGATTAACTTTGTATCAATTATGCGCAGACTCCAGCTTTGTGGCTCCTCTTATCTATGCTTTTATGGGAAGCTCAAGAGATATAGCCATAGGACCAGTGGCTGTGGTATCCCTTTTGCTCGGAACTATGCTGACGGATCAGATTAGTGACTTTGAAAGTCATGACTATCTTCGTCTTGCATTCACTGCCACCTTTTTCGCTGGAATCACCCAAATGGCACTTGGATTTCTCAGGTACACCCTTGGCGCAGTATGTGGTCCAAAATGCAATCTTCTTTCCTGCCCTGTCTCAATATTAGTGTAAAAACCACTCCAGGTCTGAAAGTTTGAACTTAACTTCGCAGGCTTGGTTTCCTCATTGACTTCTTGTCTCACGCTGCCATTGTGGGATTCATGGCCGGAGCTGCCATTACTATAGCCTTGCAACAGCTTAAAGGATTGCTTGGCATAAAAAACTTCACCAAGAAAAGTGACATAATTTCTGTCATGCGCTCAGTTTGGACTAACGTGCACCATGGGGTACTAATGAAGTTTTAGTTTTGATTTCTCTTGGCATAGACGGAAAAAGTAAACAAAAGCTCACAGGCATTACATTTGTAATCTCGTCTATTCTTGCAGTGGAATTGGCAGACGATAGTCATTGGGTTAGCATTCTTGGCTTTCCTCCTTACAGCCAAGTACCTGGTGAGAATGGCACCAATGAATATCCTTTCCATAAATTCCTCCATTACAATTTTCTGAAATATAATTTTTTAATGGACAGGCTAAAAAGAGTAAGAAAATGTTTTGGCTATCTGCACTTGCTCCTTTGGCGTCTGTTATAGTGTCCACCTTTTTTGTTTATATCACCCGTGCTGACAAGGAAGGCGTTGCAATTGTGAGTAGCACTGAACTGAGTTTTCTATCATAGATTACACAGAGTTGTGAACTTTAGAACTCAAAATATGCTATTTCAGGTGACACACATAGAGAAGGGAGTGAATCCAATATCTGCCGGTGATATTTTTTTCAGTGGAAAATATCTTGGCCCTGGTATTCAGATTGGCGTGATAGCTGGTTTGATTGCACTCACAGTAAGCTAATGCTGCATATGGCTAGTGATTCCTCACCTCAATTGGAATCTCTTGTTCTGTTAACAAATTTGAAACGAACTTTGTGGGGTTGTAGGAAGCTGTGGCAATTGGGAGAACATTTGCTGCCATGAAAGATTATTCAGTTGATGGTAACAGAGAAATGGTGGCCATGGGAACAATGAATCTTATTGGTTCACTGACATCTTGTTATGTATCTACAGGTACAAAAGCGGAAGGCAAAAGGAAAAAGCTTTATATTATCTAATGTATAGTTCTCATATTAAGAAGACCTTTATGTTGAATAGCTGCGATCTTGATGCCATTTCTTGTCTATATTCAGGATCTTTTTCACGCTCAGCAGTGAACTACATGGCTGGCTGTCAAACTGCTGTATCAAACATCGTTATGTCCATCGTTGTGTTGTTAACCTTAGTGTTCATTACACCACTGTTTAAGTACACCCCAAATGCAGTGCTTGCTTCTATTATAATAGTAGCTGTGATAGGCCTCATTGACATTGATGCAGTCGTTCTGCTATGGAAGATTGACAAGTTTGATTTTCTAGCCTGCATGGGAGCCTTCTTTGGCGTGATTTTCAAAAATGTTGAGATTGGCCTTCTTATCGCGGTAAAAGGAAATCAAAAGAAAAATTTTAAAACTATGACATTCAATATCACGCAAGCTTTTTATGAACTCATGTTTTGCAGGTGGTCATATCCTTTGCTAAAATCCTTTTACAAGTGACAAGGCCGAGGACAGTAGCACTTGGGAAGCTTCCAGGGACCAAGGTATACAGGAACATCTATCAATACCCAAGTGCTACACAGATCCCCGGAATGCTAATTATTAGAGTTGACTCTGCAATCTACTTCTCAAACTCTAATTATATCAAGGACAGGTGATTGATTTCACTTCTAGCTATTCCCATATAATGTGTGTCATCATGGAGAAATGAGGGATCTACAAGCCACTAGGTGTGGTTTAACGGTTAAGGGTTTTAACTATATATATATATATATATATATATATGGAATCTTGGTTTAAAAGTCCAAGTTTCATTTCGGAAAAAACAAAGAAAAATTAGTGTTCTACATGATTTAAAAACGTATCTAGTCACAATGATGTAGATATTGGAACTATGAGCTGTTGATTTCAAACGATTACTGCCAATGAATATATAGACAGCGTAAACTCAAGAAATCCAATGATTTTCACTTGAGATTTACTATGCATAATCTTTAAATTGCTAGACCCTTCAATATCATGCCTACCTGATGGATATGATCCAATCACAATTTGCAGAATTCTGAGATGGCTGCAAGATGAAGATGAAAGCAGGAAAGAAAGTAGTTTTCCCACAATAGAATATCTGATTGTTGAAATGTCACGTAAGGATTTGCCTTTAGATTATTATTTAATCTTCATATCGATTATTGATCTACAAAACATCATCATTCACGAAACTATAATCCTGCAGCTGTTACTGACATTGACACTAGTGGCATCCACGCCTTCGAAGATCTATACAAGAGCCTACAAAAGAGAGGGGTCCAGGTAATACATGATCAGATAATTAAACATCTTTTCATCATCACTGCAAAATTTTCTCTGCAAAACTCTTCCGGAGAAGATAACTTTCTGTTCTTGAAGATTTAACTGCTTAACTCTATCTATAATGATCTTATGCACTTTAAATGATTAGATAACACTATCTCTAGGTTTGTCATTCAATAGCTTGAGTTTTAGGATGAATTAATTAAATTGTTATTAGATCAAGGATCAAGCCCAGGAGGCACATATAAATATGTTGTGCCTGTTCTTTACTAATAACCCTTTATTCAAGCCTAACAATGCGAATAAACAATCTTTGCCATATCTGGTTGTGATATTATTCATATCTCTGGCATTCTTACAGCTCATCTTGTCAAATCCCGGGCCAATTGTAACGGAGAAGCTCTATGCATCCAAGTTAATGGACATGATTGGGGAAGACAAGATATTTCTATCAGTAGGTGATGCTGTTGCAACTTATGGTTCAAAGGCTGATCAAGTTTGATAAGTTGATAATTGTCCATATAAGAACCAGTTCATAAGTTGTGAACTGGTGGTTGTGATGAGCTGTACGTAGGCCATGTGTCCAGGTTACTGGGCCAATAATAGTCCGGGCCATTATTTTCCTACTTGGCATGCTTCAGATTCTTCTAATTGTGTTGTTATATTATCGGCTAGGCTTGTCTCCCTTTCACTTTCCAATGGTTGATTCAAGGAGGTTAAAGGAAGATCATGATTCAAGGTCATGTGTAAATATGTTCTGTTCAAGTGGCAAATATGGGATGAGCTTTGATGCAACTAAAAAAAAAAAAAAATCAGAAGAAAGGTTTGGGAAGTTGTTTTCATTTTCTTGGGCTTTTCTCCCTTCGAGATTCACTGTCTGATTTAATAAATTATTAATTTATGTCATTGGTACTTTCCTGACCACGCATGTGCATTATTCGGCCATTAAATTCACTATAGGGCTGATGAAGCAGTCACCATCCAAATTGTGATTCAGCCAAGCCTGTCTTAACTCTTTGGCTAATATCTGTACGTAGTTCATCTTTTAGTAAAATGTTTTAGAAACTGATTGTTATTAAATTGATATCGAGGCATAAGTATCTTGCTGAATTTACATATATGCCATGTAATGGAAAATTATAGGATGTATTTGCATTATTGAATTAGAAATTGTTTGGTTTCTGTCCGCTTTATTTTAATTTTATGATATAGACATATATTCACTAAAAATGTTATTATGATACATGTGAATTATTTTTTTAATATATATCATATTTAAATTTTATAATATACTATCATTATAAGGCGTAATATTTTAAATAAGCCTCAGAATAAACCAAATTATCAAATATTTTGGTTATCAAATTTTTAAATAGCATTATTATATTATTTTGATATATATTTTTTTCTACTAAAAATTTAGGAAAATACCTAATTCAAATTCTTTATATCCATTATATCAAGTTCTCTAATTATACATGATCATGTGTTCTATTTTTTCATATGAGTTTATAATTAAATAATAATGTTTTAAAAATAGGACACATGATTATACTACCTCCAGTCCTTAATATAAGACCTCGTTTAAATTTTTTTTGGTCCTAAATATAAAATTCCAATCCACTTTGTCTCTCATATTTATTCATTTTTTTTCAAGATAATTCTTTTAATAATGATAGTTCTAACAAACAAACTTGATTAGTAAAGATATTTTTAGAAAGACAACACTTATTCATTACAAATTACTAACTTAACTTGTTTCCTTAATCTACTCAAATTAGTCAACTAGCTCTTATATTTAGAACCGGAGGTAGTATATAATTAGAGAACTTGACATAATAGATATGATCAACTTGGTGTAAGTATTGTCCAAAACTTTAATACTATTCCAATATTCCCTCTTCATAATTTAGCTTATGAAATGTAAACATTTTTAATTATGTGTTTACATATTTTATTAACAAATTATTAAACAAATCTCTTACAGTATATCAGTTTGAAATTTTTTTTTCACGAATAAACCCTAAGTATGAGAATTGAGAACCTTGCCTAGCTTTGTTTATTAACTCAATCAATACCGGCCTATCAATGTACATATGGGATTGTATATAAAAAGCATTTGTTTATCATAATTCTAGAAGAGATTAAAGACTGTGTCATTAGTCAAACTGACAAGTAATTAATAGTTTAACCCCACGCTTGTAATAAATTATTATATGCATTAAAAAATGAAGACAATGAATTATTCCCTAAATTACGTCCAGGTTCATTCATGAGAATCTCTCTTATCCGTAGAAAGTAGTTTAACATAATTCCTATATAAAATGATATCGTTGACCTCGAATTTTTCTAATTAAATTCTAATTATGTTCTTTGTTTATGCGCTATTGCTTTCCATACAAAGAAACTCACACGCAAGCACAATACAGCCAAAGACAAAATGTAGTTAAAATTAGAAGATTCATTCAGATTCATTTATTGTGCCAAAAAATCATTTATTTTTTTAAAATATTTCTTTATATATATGTGTGTATATCCTTTCACATGTGTGAGAGAGAGATCTCAAGTATATAATTTTTAGAAAAAATTAATTTTTTAGTCCTTATAGTTTTAACTCGTTTGTAACTCAGTTCCTACACTTTAACTCGGTGTGATTCAGTTCCTATAATTCTGACTCAGTTATAATTTAGTCAGACACAGATATGTGAAATATCACACATATATAAAATTAGATAAAAATAGTAAAAAATTTGATTTTTTTAAATAAGTTTTAGGAATTTGATTTGTAAAATAACACAACTCTCACCTTGAAAACATTTGGCAAAAAAACTTGTAAATATCAAAATTTGGCTTGGAACTGTAAATTATTATCCGTAAATAATTGACTTATAAATATAAATTTTTAGGAATATTTTGCATTTAATTTTCTTATTTAGGACTTATGGGTAATTTTTTGAAATATATAAGTGTCTTCAGTCTTCAGTCGCCAGATCTTTCATTAGGTATTTTGTTCATGGCAAATATTAGTTTTCTTTTTATAAAAACAATCCCTTTATCATGTTCATGAAATCATTATAATTCAGGTTTACACTTAAAATAATTTCCCATACACAGTTCATTATGAAAATTTCTAATTATTTTTCGTATCACATCAATTTAATAAAATATATTAAATACAAATTGAATAATTTTTATTTTTACCTTATTATGTTGATATCATCTACTAATAGTTAAAAAATGAACAAAATATATATTTTCTTAATATAAAATTTAGCTTTGTCGTCATGAAAATGACATTTACGTGAATATTATTTCACAGTTATAAATAATATACGCTAAGCTTTATAGCACTGTCCATCTTGTAATCATATTCTATATTTTTTTTTGTTTATCTTGTTTTGTTCTTTCTTGTATATATAATGACATAGAATTGTTTGTTTTCCCCCCCTCTTATTAATTTTTATAAAGCTCGATTTTAATTTAATAACATATATATCATTTTAAAATTAGAAAACAAAAACACAAGCCATAAATAACTAGTATACAATCACAAAGTCATCAAAACTATAGAAAAATCAAAATGCAAGTCCACACGGGATGAGAAGAGAAACTAGATCCAAATTTATCATCATCACTACAATTTTTTGAAAACTACTTTCGATCCTAAACATAAGAACTTGATAACTGATTTAGAAAGATTAAAAAATTAATTAAGTTATTTCTAAAAAAATATGTATTGATTTTTGTAAAGTATTTTTTTAATAAAAAATTTTCATAAAGCATCTCTTTTATTCATTTATATTATAAATTAAAGAAACAAGGTGAATTGAAATATTTGCTGTGCATTAAAATTTTGATAATTCCCTGGGGAAATATAGATCTGAATTTTAGGTATATTATCCAATGTAATTAAGTTGGTTTAGTTATAACATGAAATTAACAATATAGTAAAACATAGAAATATAGAAAATCGTATATTGTTCACAGGCAAACATATGTCACCTACTCAAATTAATGAAATGTAATTTATAACTTGAATTGAAGTTTGTAGAATACTTTTTGGGCCGCGAAGGTTATTACAAAAGCTGGAAATTATTGATATTAAGAGAAAACAAATTAAAATTCAACTTTCACTTGCGCTCACACAGAAAAAAAAAAAGTTCTGGAAAAAAAGGAAGAGCTACATGAAAAGGCAAACACGTTGTTGGACGAGTGTGTTGTTAATAAATAAAGTTGTCTAGTAATAAAAAAATTGATTTTTTTATACTACTAGACAAATAATAATACGTCAAGTTTTAATGTCACTAGGAAAATGAATGTTTGCCAAAAAATTTAAAATGAATTAATATAGGCTATTAGTTTTTTTCCTTATGGAACCAGTTTCGGTGCTCAATAGAGTGATAAACACTTTAAACTCATCATATTTAGACTATTCAGATTTGACATGGATGGTCCAGATTTAATTTTTTATTTTTTTAAAATAATTATTTTAATAAGCATAGAATCTAAAACAAGATGGTATCTTAACTATTTATTTTTGAAAATTTTTTATTTAAAATTAAAAAAATTAAATCTGAACCATCTAAATTAAATCTGAGTGATTTTGATATGATGAGCTTAGAGTGCTCATCGCTCTTTGATAACTACCGAAACTTGTTCCTTTTTTTGCCAACAATACAAGCTATTAGTTCGATTGATTCTGTTGGCAATTATTCAAGAATCAACATCCTATTTATTATTATTATTTCATTTTTCACTATTAATATGAGAGAAGTCAAAACTAAGATTCAATAATTGGTCATAATAAATTAGTGTCACTTAAATTTATTACGAGTGTGTGTATTTTTGCTTCGAGTCAACGTAAGTTATACAGAATTACAGATCAATAATGCATGTTAAAATATAGTTCTTGGTCTTTCACAATTGGGGTGAATTACAGTGAGGTCCCAAGATAAGAAAAAAATTATAAAATAAATTCCAAAAATTGTGATTCTTTATTCCAGAACTTGTTATTACAGGCTGCTCATATTGTTATGAGACTTTTAGTAATTATTTCTCTTCTTTGAGACTTAATTATAATTCTCCCTTATAATTGTATTAGGGGCTTGAGTCCAAATTTTTGTAATTTTATCATCAAGAAATTAAAATTGTGGTCAATTTTAATTAGAATTCATATTATTACTAATTGATATGTCAACTATATCAAAGTTAATTATAATTTCAGCGGCTAATTTCTTATTGCGAAATACTATACGGATATTAACTATGAAAAACTTTCTCTCTTTATCTTATAAATAAGACGATAGGAGTATATAGTTATTCTAATTCAATCAAGTGGAGCCTTATCATGAAAATTCAAAACTAGGAATTTGAATGAATTCAACGCATTTGGGTCTGATGAATTCGGATGGAATCACGGTCCTCATTCGTATCGCCATTAAATACTACCTCTGGTACTGTACCCATTTTCATTTTTGGTTTTAGTTTGATACTCCTATGATATTTAATATAAAACCTATTTATCTAATTTGATTAGATTAAAGAAGTTAGGTAAGTTAGTTAATTATAAGAAAAATGACATGTTTTTTCTAAAACACTATAATCATCTTTCTTGATATCCCTTCTCCTTCTTTTACCTGATTATGGTTGAGGGAGTATCCACAAGGATAATTTAGAAAAAATTGATAAATATAATAAACAGGTTTTATATTTAGGACCAAAATCAACTCAATAATTAAGTCATGCATTAAGGACCGGAGGAGTATATATATATAATCATTTAATTAAACACCAAGGCAAACCTGCGTGGCTCAGAAACTTATGGCACGATTACGATTATAATACAAATTCTCTTTGTTTGCGTATAATTAACCATTACTGATTTAGATGAGTTGTCCCTCCAGAGTTTATGAGGCGAGGGCATGTTTCTAAATTCAAAATGCGGTTACAAAAGTACTTAGAACCTTATACTATGGGCGACATTTGAATTCACGGTATTGTGAATTATGAGTTAAGTCTTACCAACTGAATCAATTTTTGTTGGCTTTCGCTATCTAGGTCATCATAAATGAATTATATTTTTATTTATGACGTTCCATATATGCTCGGTGCTTCTATGTTCATATAATCAGAATTGGTACTCCTTTTAGTTCTTTTTATGAGATTTAAGTAACCAAATTGTGTTGTTTTAAGAAATCTTTTAATATTAGTTAAATGTAATAAATATTAAGTAATATGGTTTTTCTTTTGGTTCTAAGTATACCCTTATTTACAAGAGAGCATATGAGAGAGAGAGAGAGAGAAATAACGAGAAACAAAATGAAAAATAATGTATGAGAAAAAAAAATGCAATGAATTAGGGATAAATTTGATAAAAATGAATTTGATATTCACACAATCCAAATTAAATCTTATGAAAAAAAGATCAAAACAATTTAAAAATTTAGATCTTATAAAACGAATCTGTTAACTGAAAAGTCACCGATGGCTTTGTGTTAGACTGTGATTGTCAAACTTTGGATGATGCATGGTATTATTTGTCGTGAATTAAATTCAAGCAAGATTCCAAACTGTAGCTGAACATTTTATTTTTTTCCAAATCTATTTATAGAATGATAAAGATGATAACTCATACGGTTGTGGCAGATCTAGTACTTGAAGTATTTTCTCGAGTACATCCAATACTTTAAAAGATTTTGTAATGTATTCAGTTCTAAAATTTTTCCAGGTCCACCTAGCATCTTAAAATATTTCATGGTGCTCGACGCACTTGAAAAAATATTTTAAAATTCTAAATGCATAACAAAATATTTAAAAATACTGGATATACTTGAGAAAATACTTGAATATATATTAGATGCAACTCAACCCTAATTCAAATAACAATAGAGAGCCTCAAAAAATTTGTCAGGTTACAGGAACCTACCTAGTCTGGCTTTAAAGTCAACTGTTTTTGGTTTGATTAGAACTTTAGTTACCAGGAAAATCCAAAGTAAAATTCTTCTCTCTCTCTCTCTCTCAACGTATGATCAACTTGATTTTTGACTTTTGCAATGCGCAGCAAGCTGACAATAAAAAATTGATTTGCCTATTCTAACCTCGTTATATATTCCCAATGGCTCATCAATAGAATGAAACTGATAAATTATTTTATAAGATTAACACTTTCACATCAAACTAAATAGAGACTGAAATTCCATGTTGATCCCATCCCATCCCCGTCTCTATATAATGAGCAAGAACCTTGTGCACTAGAGTGCAAGTTCGTTGCTGGGTTCTCTACTATTCGTCATCTGGTACTTTTACTATGTCTTTTTTATTCACATATTTCACTATATTCTTGTCTACTTGCGATTGAGCCCCTTGCATGATTCCTTTACGAACCGAAGCTAAACTTAACTCTAAATCAAAGTTTTTATAGCAAGTTAATTGTCTTCATATTTTTGTGAGTTATTTGCAGATTGGACCTTAGTTTCTGGGCTCAATGAGTAACCGTGTTAGCGATGAGGCCGTGGAACAGGTCACACAGGAAATCAGAAGTGGGCATTCTTCTCGTCGACATGACAGGACTTTGCCATGTATTCACAAAGTGGGAGCCCCTCCTAAGCAAAATCTTCTCAGAGAGATCAAAGATTCTGTGATGGAGACTTTCTTTGCAGACAAGCCCTTAAGCCACTTTAAGGACCAGCCTGGATCAAAAAAGTTTGTTCTTGGACTCCAAGCAGTTTTCCCAATTCTTGAATGGGGAAAAGGGTATAATATTAGTAAATTTAAAGGAGATCTCGTTGCTGGAGTTACCATTGCAAGTCTCTGTATTCCTCAGGTAAGTATAGTGCTCCTTTAGGATGTTATTAATACGCTGGCATGCTTGTTTAATTTCTCTTGGGTCGTGACTCACTTATGAATGTAATACAGGATATTGCATATGCAAAGCTTGCAAATTTGAAACCACAGTATGGACTGTGTAAGTATTTTGATTTTTTTTCTTTTCAATAGCATTTTAATAATTTTTCTTGTAACTGAAGAGATAACTTTTAATAAAGTTATCGAGCAGGATATTTTGGTTAATAATTTGTTTAAAAATTTGATTGTTAATGAAGCACAATAATATCGTGTAATCTATGTAGAGCTGACTTTATCTAGTAGGATAAGACTTGTTGTTTAGCTTTTTATGTAGACATCGGTCTTTGCTTTGTGGCCATGTGATGAACTTTCAATCAATTTGTGCAGACACCAGCTTTGTGGCTCCTCTGGTCTATGCTTTCATGGGAAGCTCAAGAGATATAGCCATAGGACCAGTGGCTGTGGTGTCCCTTTTGCTTGGAACTATGCTGACAGATGAGATTAGTGACTACAGAAGTCATGACTATCTTCGTCTTGCATTTACTGCCACCTTTTTCGCAGGAATCACTCAACTGGCACTTGGATTTCTCAGGTACACCCTTGCCACAGCATATTATAACCCAAATACATTCTTTTTTGATGTCTGAATTCTAGTGGGAAACAAAAAAATCAATTCTAAAGTTTGAACTTTTAGATGAAGATTCAGAATATTAACATCTTTATTATGCCTACTCACACGAGCCCTTTGTTTTTCGTCCCTTTTCGGTGGTGAGGAACTAGTGTGAAATAATACTACCTCTAATCATTAGTATAAGAGCTAGTTTGACTTTTAATTTAGTCTTAAGCATAACACCCTAATCCACCATATCTCTCATATTTATACATTCCTTGTAGTAGTTATACATATTGAAGGTTTCACCATAGTAGTTCTAGCTAATGCACGTGATTGACAAGAATATTTTAAGAAAGACAACATATATTTATTCTAAATAATTAATTTAACTAATTTTTTTAATCTACTCATATTATTAGTCAACTAGCTCCTAAATTAAAGACCCGACGTAGTATATCTGGCATCTGTTAAAAATGCATTTTCGTGACTGCATATAGAGGTTAGAAGAAACACAACAATAGCAGAATCACTTCAATTTAAGAGCCCGGCTAGGCTGTTTAACATCGATGACAACTTCGTTGCAGGCTCGGTTTCTTGATTGACTTCTTATCTCACGCTGCCATTGTGGGATTCATGGCTGGAGCTGCAGTTACTATAGCCCTACAGCAGTTTAAAGGATTGCTTGGCATAAAGAATTTTACCAAGAAGACTGACATAATCTCTGTCATGCGCTCAGTTTGGACTAACGTGCACCATGGGGTACCTAATACAGTTTTAATTTTGCTTTCTCTGGGTATATATGTTCAGGGAAAAGATAAGTAAAAGCTCACAAATATTGTGTTTATAATTTCTTCTATTCTTCCAGTGGAATTGGCAGACAATAGTAATTGGATTAGCATTCTTGGCTTTCCTCCTTGCAACTAAGTATCTGGTAAGCAAGCATGCCATTTATTTCCCTCTCCATAAATTATAGTTTTCCATTACTATTTATCTGAACTGTTACTTTGCAAATGACAGGCTAAAAAGAATAAGAAACTATTTTGGGCTTCTGCACTTGCTCCTTTGGTGTCTGTTATACTGTCCACTTTTTTTGTCTACATTACTCGTGCTGACAAGAATGGTGTTGCAATTGTGAGTATCATCAAATTGACTTTTTCTTATCATAGTTTAAGGAAAATAAAGTTATAAACTTTAGACGTCATAATATGCTATCATTTCAGGTGACACACATAGAGAAGGGAGTGAATCCATCATCTGCTAGAGAACTCATTTTCAGCGGAAAATATCTTGGCCCTGGTATTAGAGTCGGTGTGATAGCCGGTTTGATTGCCCTCACGGTAAATATGCTCATTCTACAGATGACAAGTGATTATTCCTAGCTTCCACAAGACTTTCTTTAACAAATTTGAAGCCAACTTTGTTGAATTGTAGGAAGCTGTGGCAATTGGGAGAACATTTGCTGCTATGAAAGATTATCCGTTGGATGGTAACAAAGAAATGGTGGCAATGGGAACAATGAATATTGTTGGTTCACTTACATCTTGCTATGTAGCCACAGGTGAACAACAGAAAAGCAAAAGCTCTATGTTATCTAATACTTTCTTTGATCTTTAATATAAGAGCTACTTAACTGATTTGGTTAAATTAAGAAAGATAAATTATTCAACTATAACAAAGATAATCTGATTTTCCTAGAGTACCCCTTCATAGCATTAGATTGTATCGGTTTTGAGGAAAAATAATACATACAAGGGATAAAGTGGATTAAAATCTTATATTTAAGACCAAATATAACTTTTCAACTAGCTTTGGTATTAGGAATTGGAGGCAATATAATGTTTAAGCCTCTCCTATGAAAGGAGACCTTCCTAATATTGAATGGAACTTGAGAGCATTTCTATATTATTGCTCATGCAGGATCCTTTTCACGATCAGCGGTAAACTACATGGCTGGCTGTCACACTGCTGTATCAAACATTGTTATGGCCATCGTGGTGTTATTAACGTTGGTGTTCATTACACCATTATTTAAGTACACCCCAAATGCAGTGCTTGCTTCTATTATAATAGCTGCTGTGGTGGGCCTTGTTGATATCGATGCAGTTGTTCTGCTATGGAAAATTGACAAATTTGATTTCCTAGCCTGCATGGGAGCTTTCTTTGGTGTGATTTTCAAGAATGTTGAGATTGGCCTTCTCATCGCGGTAAAAAGAAATCGAAAAAAATTAAAATTATGGTGTTTAATTAATATCTTGCCCGCATTATTTTATGAACTCATGTCTTGCAGGTGGCCATATCATTTGCCAAAATCCTTTTACAAGTGACAAGGCCAAGGACTGTGATACTTGGGAAGCTTCCAGGGACCAAGGTGTACAGGAACATTCATCAATACCCACATGCCGCACAGATTCCCGGAATGCTAATTATTAGAGTTGACTCTGCAATCTACTTCTCAAACTCTAACTATATCAAGGACAGGTATGGTCTAATAGTTAAGGTTATTAACTAAACGAAGTCTTATGTTCAATGTCCAAACCTTAATTCTGTAAAACTAAAAGGGGGGAAAAAGCGTTCTTCATAGTTTCTAAAAGTAATTACAAGTTACAATTCTGTAGATTTAAGAGCTATGATGAGCTGTAAGTTTCTAACAGCTAGTTATATTACCAATAAATATGGGGAGGGATACCTTAAGAAATCCAATGATTTCTCAATGAGTACCACGTATAATCTGATTTTCTAGACCCTCCAAGATCATGCTTTAGTTTTCAATCAAAACTTGCAGAATTCTGAGATGGCTGCAAGATGAAGATGAGCAAAGGAAAGAAAGTAGTTGTCCCACAATACAGCACCTCATTGTTGAAATGTCACGTAAGGCTTTCCTGTTAAATGATTTGACCTTGACATTGATTATTAATCACCAAAACGTTCCTATTCTTATATAAATATATATATGCAACTATATTCCTGCAGCTGTTATTAACATTGACACTAGTGGCATCCATGCCGTTGAAGATTTGTACAAGAGCCTTCAAAAGAGAGAGGTCCAGGTAACACATGCATGTTCACAAAATTCAACCTTTTCGTATTAGATCAAATGCAAGACTAGGAGATACATAAAATGCGTTGGGCAAGCCTATGACCTTTACTAATTAATAACTCATGATTCAAGCCTAAGCGTAGTTTATGTGAGAAAACAATCTTCAAATTGAGTTTATCGTGACATCATTAATCTCTCTATCTGGCAATCTCACAGCTTGTCTTGGCAAATCCTGGGCCAATTGTAATGGAGAAGCTCTATGCATCCAAGTTAGTAGACATGATTGGGGAAGACAAGATATTTCTATCGGTGGGTGATGCTGTTGCAACTTTTGGTTCCAAAGCTGAAGAAGTTTGATAGGTTTAATATATAAATATATATATATATATTCCTATGAACCGTACCCATTCAGAAGTTGTCAATGGCACATTGTTTGTTGATATGAACTGTAATTAGTGTTTAAAGATTACTTGGTTAGCCACATAGTCCGGGTCCTTCCTTCCCGTGTGGCCTATATCGTAGTCTTCTTTTGCAATTTCCCTTTCTTTTTCCAAATTTTGTGTGCAGTCAATTAATGGTCCATTCATGGGCTCAAAGGAAGATCAGGTGTCAAGTGTTATGAAAATTTGTTCAGTTGTAGGAGAAGAAAGCCTGGGAATTCCCCCTTCCCCTTTTTATGATCTGGCTCAGAGTTTGTATTCATCTCATTTGGTGGAAGCCATATGTATCAAGGAACTCCAGGCGTGCTAGTGATATTGTTGTATTATCTTCAAATTCAGAAGAACCAAATTATGTCCCAATAGTTGATGGTAAATTCCGAATGCTAGCAGTCCGATAAATGAAACTATCAATGGAAATGATTCATCTCAATTACTAAGTTTAATGAGCTTGTGCTACATATTAGCATTTGATTCAAGGGCGAAGGGCTTTAATAACAAAATGGAAAATTCGCTTACAATAGCTTAAACTACTTTAGAAGGGAAAAGCTTGCATCTCACACAAATTGACATTTTGCATTTTAATTAGGCCAACGAACCCTATAATGACTGGAATATAATATATATATATATATATATATTTATATATTTATATGGCCATCACATGTAAGGCAGCAGCTTCACGACACATTCATGTGTTTTATTCGAACACACGAAAACCTTATACCGACGATGAGGAGGAGGACGACAACAACAATGGTGTCTGTATGTGTATATAAACATATTTCATAGCTAAATTAAATCTCTGGATTATTTGCATATAATTAAGAAGTGGCCTGCTATAGTCATATCTTTTGGTGGAAAATGCATAAAATATAGCCTTTCAATAACGAATCATAGAAAATAAACCACATTGGTTGTATCAGTCAAATTAAATAGGTCTGCAATTTCCCTTTTATTTTACTGGGTGTTCGTTTCTTCCCTGTAGCGTTCAACCTATTCATCTGTTTGGGGATAAAAAAAGAGAGGTAAAGACATCTTTGATTTTTCAGTCATATATCAAACGAAAAATTTATTTACACGCTGTGCTATCTCAAGGCACCAATCATCGCTTTCTGACTATCTCTGTATCCCAATTAATAAGCTTCAGAATGGGCTTTTATTCAGTATTTAAATATCAGTTATGGTTTTTTAATTGTCTTTTATTATATAATTTTATAAACTTCAATCCCAAAATTAACCAACATTTTTATATCGGGAGGTCTCTAAGTGTATAATATTAAGGGAAGGAGGTCATTCACAGGGCTCGCCAAATACTATTAAACCCATAACAATTTCATTTCGTCAGGTAAGAGTAGTTCAATTATATAGTGTTTTTCAATGATAAATTCTTGATTATCAGGAAAGTGCAATCACCAACAATATTGTGATCAATAAAACAACCTTATTTTTCCTCACAATGTAGCGAATTAAAGTTCGAATAATTTTTATTAGGAGAGATGATCACATTTAGTATCTAGTAGTATCTCGAACAGGATTGCGGCCTCCAATAAAAAAAGTATTTACGCATAGCAACAACATTCTTGTCTTTCTAGTCTCTTTCATATATGATGAATGAAAATTTCATTCCCCTTATTAAATAAGAATAACATGCAAAGTTTTTGTTGGTGAACAATCATGCATGCAAATTTATGTAGCAGTATACAAGCAAATACATGCAAAATTTTTGTTAGTTACACAAAATACCCTCTAAAAACATTTAAAACACACATATGCTTTTCATTCCAACACAGCTAATGATATGCTTACGTGCAATCAGAATCATGTCGACCCCAAGAATGTATGATTTGCACAAACAAGTTAACATTAAATTAAATACATGGAAGAGAAACATTCTTAATTACACATGTATATAATATCAATGAATTGATGATCAGTTATGTTTTTCCATGTTTTGAGCCCTAACTCTACTAGCCCATGATGATTTTTCCTTTTGAGACATGCTTACATCAGACCTTCTCTTCAACTCAGCCACTTGCTCTTCCCACCTTCTTCTCCATCTTTCACCTCCGTTAACACTCTTGTTATTACTCTTTTTTGTGATCAAGCCGAGTTCATAATCATACTCTTCTCGAAGCACTGGATCCAATAATGTCTCATAAGCTGCATGGAGTTGCACAAAAATCCTCGTACACTTCTCCTTCCTTGAAGGGTCTCGGCATATGTCTGGGTGGTACTGAAGTGCCATCGATCTATAAGCCTTCTTTATTTCGTCTTTTGTTGCAGTTTTAGGATTCAAAGATAGTATCTTGTAAAAGTTTTCGGGAGTTGTCTCTTCAACCTCAATACCTAGCTTTCTAGCTCCACATGAAACACTAAGCCCTTGGCTTTGTGACTTTTTTGAGAGAGGATTAAGGCCATGAGAGGACCTATTGGGAAATAGGACTGAACTCAAGGATAAAACATCCATTTTTGCTTTGATATTTGACTACCAAATCTGGAGGAGCTAGTAAAACGTATAGTATTTCACAACTATTTATATATCTGTAAATGGGGCAAGGAAACTACTGCGAAGTCACAAGGACACATTTATGAGAACCTTAAATTAATATTTCCTTCCACTTTGAGCAAATAACTATAATATATTTTCCTAAATAGAAAAAAGAATTATGGTTGACGAAACTAGGGTTTTGAATTGTTTTATACACACACGCGCGCGTTTTCTTCTTGGTATATATCGAGATATTTTCTCATTGGCTGTCTGTCCACCATGAAAGTACACAAAATAAAACATGGAATGTTTCAACACCTAATCATCAATGTGATTAGCTCCAAAAGCAGACTTATGTTAATTAATTAAGAAGAAAATTTGTTAAAACAGACAAGCCCTAACAATCTTTGCATTTAGAGCACGCAGCAACCTAAGGACACATCCACATGTTTTATTGAAACGCATGAAAAAAAACCTTAACAAACAACGACGAGGACGTACGACAACATTTCATAGCTAAATTAAGAAATGGCCTGCTATCTATATTCAAATGTTTTGGTAGCAAATGGCTCCAGAAGAAGACGAAGACGACTCGTGTATATTATCTGTATATGTGAATTTGAATTATCTGCCGGCAGTTCGTTAAAAAAAATTAGTTATATCAGATTCAGATAATAAAATGTAGCCTTCTGATCAAGAATCATAGACATATATGGACGTACATGCATGCACATTGGTTATAGCAGTCAAATAGGTCGGCTGCTTCCATGTTATTGCTTCTTCATTTCGTCCTTATTATATGAATCGTATATCCTTATACAGTGCCTTCATCATTAATTCCCAGATTATTTTTAGCTCTCTGTCTCTCTCTCCTTTTCTCTCCATAATGCATGCGAACAGATTTTGGTCAATGCACATGTGTCAATAAGCTTTAATATTAAACTAGATTTTGATTCAGTTCATGCGGTGCGTTTCCTTACTTGTAATATATATCAACCGTTTCTTAAAAGAGGACCATCCAATTTGAATTTTTTTTTGTTTTGTTTTGAAGATATCTTTTGTAATTTTGACAGACTAAAGGATGAATTTTGTCTCAATTTTTTTTTAAAAAATTGTTGCTGTACCCTTTACTTTCCATTGAGTTTAAAGCCTTAAATTGCATAAGTACCAAGATGATGATTATTATTATGCAGTGGAGAAGAAGTGCAATTTTTTTTTTTATGTGTGAACTCAGAGTTTGTTCAAATCATTTTGGATTTGAGACTAGTCTCTGTCGGACCAGAGATGCTAAAGTTAAAGCTATTCTATAAGTGTATTTCTAAGAATTTAAACTTGTATTCTCTTTCTTATGGGAGTAAGACTGTTTCACATCTCAACTAATAGCTTATTGGAGAAGAAGTGCAACCATTATATAGACAAAATTTAAATACTTTGAATCAAAAAGCCATATTGTTCCCTTGATTTTATTCATTTTCTTAAGTCCGGCCCTTGTAGTTGGAGTTTAGGGCCATGCTCCTTAGTCTAGATAACTTTTTGGGAGAATTACAATAAGTTTTGAAGGAGGAGAGAAATGATTACTAAAAAATCCCAATAACAACCTAAGCAACCTATAATGATAAGTTTTAGAGTAGAAAATAATAACAACTTTGAAGACTTGTTTTGTAATTATTTTTCTTTTTTGGGACCTAATTGTGATTCTTCCTAACTTCTTTTTTGGAATTTATACTTCACATTATCATATACAAAGTGTAACTCCCACAGTACAAATTTAAAAGATCAAATGTAAAGAATTGAACTTGAGAGGCATGACAATGTGTGGGTTGTTGAGGATTTGAATTGGGCAAGTAAAAAGAAGACGCAGGTAAGTACAAAGCCCAAAGATAGTCCGACCTGAGAATGAATTAATTTAATTCCACTGTGTTAAAAGTCACACTTGAAATGATAAATGAATCATGTCCTACAAATCATATATCATTAAACAAAACAAGATACATAAACAATAATATACATATAATAATAAACGAATTAATTATTTATGATTTTTCATGTTTTGAGCCCTCATTCTACTTCCCCATGATGATCCTTCCTTTTGAGCCATTCTTGTATTAGACCTTCTCTTCAACTCAACTAATTGCTCTTCCCACCTTCTTCTCCATCTTTCATCACCGCCATTAACACTCTTATTCTTATTCCTCTTGCTTGTCATCAAGTCAAGCTCATAATCATACTCTTCTCGGAGCACTGGGTCTGATAATGTCTCATAAGCTGCATGGAGCTGTACAAACATCCTCGTACATTTCTCCTTCCTCAAAGGATCTAAGCACGTGTCTGGGTGGTATTGAAGTGCCATGGATCTATATGCCTTCTTTATCTCATCTTTGGTTGCACTCTTCGGATTCAGAGATAGCATCTTGTAAAAATCGACAGAAGTTGTTTCTTCTACCTCAATAGCTAACTTTCTTGCTCTGCATGAAACATGCGAAGGATGAAGCTTTTGGCTTTGCAAATTTTTTGAGAGTGGATTAAGGCCATGGGAGGGCCTATAGGGAAAAATTAGGGATGATCTGAAGGATAAAACTTCCATTGTTACTTTGAAATTGGACTCCCAAATCTCGACGACAAAGGTATGGTGTTTTACACCTATTTATATCGATAAATGGGTCAAGGAACCTAACCCCAACTCTCAGTGACACCTTTTTAGGGGGCCTTAAATTAATATTTCTTTGAACTTTAAGAGAATAACTACAATTTATTATTGAATAAATATATAAATATATAACTATTGGTTGACAAACCAAGGGTATTGAATTTGTTTGATCTATATATATACGCGTTTTCTTCTTGGTATGCATCGAGATATGCATTTTCTTGTTGATGTGCACACAATAAAACGTTGAATGTTTCCACAATCAATCAACGTAATTATCTTCAAATTAGTTATTAATTAATTAATAAGAAGAACATTGATAAAACACATAAACCCTAGTCTTCAACAACAACAAATGGGCGTGCATTTGTGTACCTTTAATTCTTTGCTTAATAGATTATTTGTAACACACACACACACAAACACACACACACACACACACACACAAGTGGCCAGTGGCCTCCCACACACTGAGAGAGATTCAAATATTTTGGTAGCATATGGCTTCAAAAGAAGCGGAAGATATACACAAACATATATATATATATATATATAAGTTCACTATAATTGGATTAATTGGGTATGTAACTAAATATATGTTCTTACCTTAACCAACATCCATAGAAAAAATCAAGCCTTCTGAATCTAATTAATTTGAAATTATCTGCCGGCAGACAATAAGAAAATGTATATGTATTTATATAGCCTCTTAATAAAAAATCATATTGACCAACTAACACATTGGCCATATCAGTCAAATAGGTCAGCTATTCCCTTCTTATTTTACTGTTTGTTCATTCCTTCCGTAGACCAATCATATCTATCCTCATCCTGCAATATCTTTATCTTTCCTTGCTTATTTTAATTTGTCTATATATATATATATATATATATATATTCCTTCCAAGTTGCAATCCTAAATCAAAGGAGCTATATAACTAATTAGCAGAAATTAAGAAAATTAGTTTAATTAATTACTTATAAATTAAAAAATGTGTGATAATTTTTCTAAAATATTCATTTCAATAATTTCCATTAGACACTACCCTCTTGAAGAAATATCCCCTTAATATGTACATCACTAGGAAGAATTTAAAGGAAAAAATATAAATTTGAGAGATAAAGTTAATTGAGGTTTTACATTTAATATCACAGTAACTTAACCTTTCAATTAGCTCTTATATTTAGTATTATAGAGAATATATATTTATATTATGTTTATGCATATGTATAATTTATAATAAGTATTTTGTGTCATTACATGCAAAAAGGTCAATCTGGTTGGCAATTCCGTGTGGTGTATTTTTTTATGTCTGAATTGTGTTATTACGCACTCCATGTTTATATGGAGGCAAAGCTCTGAATTGTATTTCCAATATTAATAGCCGGAGGAGAATTATAATTTAGAATTTCGATAGGCAAAATTTAAATCTAATTATATTTCAAAAGTTTTTGTTATCTGCTATTTTTGGAATACACAATTACAGAGAGAGTTTCTTAATGCAAAATCTTCTATAAAGTGTAAAATAATATTTACAAATCATTTACAGAAACGCAACCCTAACCAGATATCTACTCATAGAAGGAAAATACTTATTACTTTTGTAACTTATTTAAGGGAAATTCTGAAGAATATAAAAGTTTTCATCACTAATCAACTAGTTTAAGCTAAATAACTAATAAATTAAGTGATGTGGTAAATTAATACTCTTCTTATCCTAAATATAAGATTCTTTTTATAGTGTAATTTATACTACAAAATGAGTTTTATATTTATAATTTGAGCAGTAATAAACAAGCTATGCCCTAAATATAATACGTTTGTGCTTGCTAGTAAGGACATTATATATAAAACATTATGGAGTTCTTGCTATTTGGATTATTCCTTTGTCCTCACTTTTCAACGCCTATGGTAGATTGGTTCACGGAATATTTTTAATATTTCTAAAATTAATACTCCTCTAATCCGTAATGTAAAATCTTAATTAATTTGGAATATGACATAATCTCTTGAAAATATCTAAACGTAACATTATATGTCAGTTTATGAGTTAAATAAACTAATCAGAAAAAATAATAACTATAAGAGATAAAATAGATTAATGTCTTATAATTGAAGGCCAAATCAAATCCCTAATAGCTAACCCCTACATTTAGTACTAGAAGAGTATGCTTTAATTTAATACTACTTCCGGTCCTTAATATAAGACCCTATTTGACTTTTATTTTGATTCTAAATATAAGACCTCAATCCACTTTGTCTCTCATATTTACTCAATTTTTTCCAATATAGTCCTTCTAATAATTATAGTTTTAGTCAATACACTTGATTAGTAAAGATATTTTAGGAAAGACAACACCTATTTAGGACAAATAACTAATTCAACTTACTTTCTTAATTTTCTCAAATTAGTCAACTGGCTCTTATAATTAGGACCGGAGGTAGTATTTGGTTTCAATTTTTTTTCCGCAGAAAACCCGATCCCGATTTAAATATTCCATATATTCTCCATAATTTTATATTCTCACCAAACGCTTCATCTTCACTAATTCCGATAGGAAAAAGGTTGAAAGTAATGTGAAATGTAAACGAACCTGATACTACCTCTTATTCTAATTATAAGATTTTATTTGTAGACTACAAACGAGATTTTATAATTAGGATTGAAGGTAGTATAAAAAGAAATAAAGGTTCCACGTCTGTTAGGGTTAGATTTAAAACAAGATATATAAGTTAAAGAATTTATAAACCCACCATTTGAATTAAGATTTTAGATTAAAATGTCGTACTGTGTCATTGTTTTTAATGACAATATGGTTCTGTATTATATAAGTGAGTCATGATATACCCTACCTCTAGTTCCAAGTATAGAAGCTAAATAGGGATATGCTTAGGTTCTTAATATTACCTCCACTCTTTAATATAAGATCTCATTTGACTTTTATTTTGATCCTAAATATAAGAATCTACTTTATCTCTCATATTTATTCATTTTTTTTCAAGGTAGTCCTTCTAATAATAATAATTCTAGTTAAGACACTTGATTAGTAAGTATATTTTAGAAGATGCAACACCTATTTATAACAAATAACTAACTTAACTTATTTTCTTAATCTACCCAAATTAGTCAACTAGCTCTTACATTTAAGATTGGAGGTAGTATAAGACTTCTCTCTCAAATTTATAACTTTGGTCCCCTAGAGTATTCTGGCAAAGGAGTTTTCATAGCTACCATGCATATGATTAAAAATTATATTGTAAAAAATTAATATACATTTATTATAAATAATTAAATTAATTGGTAAATGTAAATTAATTATTTATATCTTATATTAAGGTAGGGTGAGAGAAGTTCTTTAATCAGGTAGAAACCACCACAATGATGAAAATAAATTATTTATTTATTTACTGTGGGGAATTTCAATTCATGAGGGAATCTTTAAACTGGGCTTAGTGTAGGCCCAAAACTTGTTTTTTGGGGGTGGTTAACGTCAACACCAAACAAAAACCAAGAGCCTCTAATGTGTGATTATTCTTTGGGAAAACAAAAGTATTAGGAATCAACCATAAAAGTCGACTTAAACTCAGTCAAATATGGGACTAACAATCAAAATTAATTAATTATAAATTGAATAGAGATTCATTTTATCATTTTTCATTTAAATTTTCATGAATAAGGTTGCAATTTTGTCTCTTGATAAAGCATAAAACAAAACACAACCTTCTTATAAACTTTGGTGTTTTGATGATTCATTTCCAAAACATCCACTCAGAGTCCTCATAAGTAGTTTTTCCTCTCTCTTTTTCATAAGTTTCAATCAACTATACATTAAAAAAAACTAATTAAAAAACTTAGGTCATTTTGTACAATTTCAAAATTATTTTTTAATAAAATTCAACAGAGAAGTTTGGTTAATTAGTTAGAGAAATTTATAATTAATCAGAGGCATTATATGAAAAATCATTTTAGACAAAACATATTATATTACAAAACATAGATGCAAGATATCTTTATAATAAGAATTAAAAAGAATATTATTTTTTTAATAATATTATGTGTAAGCATTTTAATTTGTTATATTAAAAAGTTGGAATATAATCAACTAACGGCGATAGATATTCTTGAGATCCCAAAAAAAAAAAAAAAGAAATTGCAAGAAAATTCATCTTACAGAATAATACAGCTTTATAAGGAAGCGTCAATCACGGTTCGGGAAAGATAAATAAACGAATTGGGAAGAATAACATAAAAATGCCTCTAAAATTTACAAATATCATATTAGGACTATATTATTGTGAGATGACTATATTATCCTTTTGTAAAGAAAAAGGGTAAAAACTCCTTGCACCATGCATGGTTACTGAGACATCAACGTTGTCACTGTCTATCGTTTAGTTATCATTTTATATAATGAAAATTGTTTCTTCAATTTACTATTAATATCTAAAACCCAAACCTAGCTTTTCAAAATACTAATGGTCACTGCTTAAGTTTTTGTTATCGTAGTTAAAGCTGTTACTTTTCTGGTTCTGTTTATAAGGCACTTTTAACATATTTCACATAAACTAAAAAAAATCTTAAACTGCATTAACTCTTCATTAAAATATAGCAACTTTTCAACTTTACCCTTATTTAATATATACACCTTTTAAAAAAAAACTATCTACCTCATAATAAATGAATAACAATGTAATACATTTATGATAAAAATTTAATAAAGTGACTTATAAATAAGACAAAAAAAACTTCTCTCTTTGCTTTATAAATAGGACCAAAGGAGTATTTCTTAAAATAAAGTGGTTATTTGTTTCAAAATCATCCATTCTCACTATTTCTTTTTTGGACATAAGGTCAGTATTGTCATCTCGTAATAAAATTTAACGCCAAAGAAGACTTTAGAGAAATCATCTCATTTCATAATCTTATTTTAAAATT